TTATGATAAAATTTTTGATACTTTTCTTATGTTTTAGCACATTTAGACAAACAAACACAAACAGAAGAGGGGTAATAGAAAGCGATCCAAATCTAAATCCTTAGATCAAAACCAGAATGTTAATTCTTTGAAGCCAACCAGCCACTAACAGCACAGGCTGTTACACATTACACTTTAAATTGGGGTGAAGGAGGTTAAAACATTTGTCTCAACATTTCTGCTACTCTTAAGGCTTAGCAGTATAAGTATACTACTTTTGCCTGCTAAGACTGTTTCTCTAGCCTCTGTTGCATGAGTTTCTAAAGAGAACTATGCGTTAATATATGAAGAGCTAGAAATAATTTTCACAATAAAAAAAGAACGGCTACACATGACATACATCCAGTGCCTAAACCCTACACATGCAATAGCTTAACCTTATGAATACCGATGTGTAGAAACCTGATGAGCAAACTGGTGCCCAGCAAGTTTCCCACTAAGAAAACATCCAAAAATATCCAGGAAAGGAAGCAAATTAAGTATCTCAAAAGCCTGAAAAACATATGCAAGACCAATGACTTAATAATACTATCATAAATAGCACTTCCATGTCCAGAACAATTTACAAACATTAATTAACCCTCACAATATCTTGGACAGTTAGGTGAATATTTTCTGCTTTTTTACAGATGGGTAAAACATGGGCAGAATGGTCAAGTTATTTGCCCAAAATTATAGAGGGAGCCCACAGAAGAGCCAGGTTTAAGACTTAGGGATTTCTATACCTCAAACCATTACTCTCACTGGAAGGGATCCTGGTATGTTTCATGCTGCAACAAACCTCAAATGCCAAAGGAAACTATCTAAAAAAAGGGAATTCACTTGTTAAGTCATTTCTTCTGACATCTGCTTCACAAAATGTATGTTTGTAAACCAGCTAAGCACAGATTAGACTAAAAAACACACCAGCTACCAACAGGATAGCACAAAAAAAAAAATACCTCTCTCTCTAGTGGAGCTATGGGAAAGCTATCCTGAAGCGACACTCTTTTAGAGGAGACAAGTCTGAACAATGCCCAAACCGAAAGCTACCCGATACAAATTAGTCTGCCTGGAAAAATGTGAAGGCTTCCAGGCTCTTCCACACAAAACTCAGAGACTTTGTCTTGACAAGGAAAAGTGATCACGCTTATATTGGGCCTAATTTACACATGCTAATTATCCTGACCTAAATACTATCTTTTTCCTGGTGTAGATGCAGAGAAACACCTTGTAGCTCAATTTAGTTAGTTGAGCTCTAACCTAGGCTTCTGCCTATGGTAGAAAACTGATCACCTAGAAATTTTACCTGTCTCTACACTAGGAAAAAAGACACTGTTTAGGTTAGGCTAATTAGCATGTGTTGGCTAAGTCTCACCTAAGTTTTACTATTTTGCTTACGTCAAGACAAAGTGAGAGAGACATCAACCAGCTTGCAATGGAGAACTTCTTACCCAAGAGAGCATTCTTATTGTCTCAGGGTATGTCTACACTACCCATTGGATCGGTGGGCAGTGATCGATCCAGCGGAGATCGATTCATCGCGTCTAGTCTAGATGCGATAAATCGACCCCCGAGCACTCTCCCGTCAACTCCTGTACTCCAGCGCCGCGAGAGGCGCAGTAGAGAGGAGCAGCAGCAGTCGACTCACCGTGGTGAAGACACCACGGTAAGTCAATCTAAGTATATCAACTTCAGCTACGTTATTCACGTAGCTGAAGTTGCATAACTTAGATCGATCCCCCCCAGTGTAGACTAGGGCTAAGTGCTAGCCCTGCAAATTTGGATTATACTCTTTATCCTAGACATCTACTATTTTTATGTAAGTAGAGGATATTGTGATATCCAGTTCTTCCTGCCATTTAGAGAAAAGCTGCTGTCTTGTTATCCTTTGCTATTAATTCTCCCTCCTCTCACTTATGGTCCAAAACATATATGAAGCTACAACCAGGGACCGAGCTGTCTGCTTCAGTCTGTAGGGTGTTTTCAAAGAATCACATGGAGAATTAACCCTTGAAATATCCTAATGAGATCCTTTGAAAACATACCTATCTAACTGAAACAGACATTTTTCAGTCACATTTTAATATATATTAATGGTACATTTATAAATAAATTTATAAAGCATTAATAAATGTTTAATAGATGTTATAAGCATGTTACAGACCTGAATAGTATGTAATGGTGGCAGTTAAGCTCTGGAATAGGTTTCCAAGGGAGGTTGTGGAATCCCCATCACTGGAAGTTTTTAAGAATAGGTTGGACAAACACCTGTCAGGGATGGTCTAGGTTTACTTGGTCCTACCTCAGCACAGGAGACTGGATTTCTCAACTTCTCATGGTCCCTCTCCAGCCCTACATTTCTATGATTCTATAAGCACATGGGAAGAAGGTATTATAGATGATTAGCAGCCATAATTATAAGCAACCTGCAGACCTACTGAATTCTATAACAATCTATATTATATTAATCATTTATTAACCCTTTATAAACTATTTATAAAAGTGTACCCTTCATATAACACGCAACTTATTTTCTCCACTATGACTCCAAACTCACGTCTTGAACTTATCAATGACTTTATATGTAGCTTCATGGTCCAAACGAAAGGAGCAGATACCTTTACTCCTTAGCTGTGTTCTTATGAAGACTCCTGAATGCTAATGTCACGAAGCAGTAACTGGCAGCCTAGTTGAAAGAAATATAGCTGGTACAATAATTCTCAAGTTCTCATTGGCTGCATATAGACTACAGACAAGCTCAGGGAGGACTTTATAAATTTTGGACAACCTGCTTTGACAGAGCTTCCTTGTGGATCTTGAGAGAGTGATTAAAAGTGTAACCCTTATGAGAAATGCTGAAGAAAGCAAAAACTATGAAACAGATGTTGCAGCTACCCACAATAAAGCCAATATGTATACTGTAAATGCAACAGAGAAATCTGGGTGGTGGTTAAACAACAAGTGGCATGAAAAGTCCTCTAGCTTCTTTGACTGCACTGATTAATTAATAGGCCCAGGGAAGGATAACTCAGATCTCTGCATTACTGGATTATGAACAAAAAGGCAGCTTTTAATGTTCTGTGCTTAAAGCGCACAGTTTTTCAGTCATATTTTGCAAAGAATTGTAATATGAATTCTTAAAGAACTGTAAAAGTATTAATTCCATTATATTCTGTTAGTGACTAGCTCTAGCCCACAAAGAGCTGGTAAGGCAAACACTTCTGTTTAAATGACAGATCAAAGAAGCATTACTAAAATGATGTAATCCCTTTAAACAGGAATCTGAAAAACAGAATGAGGAAAGGAAACCCTGATTCCTCTACTTCCCTAAACTATCAAATTGTATTTATTTTAACATGAAATTCTTTGTAAAGCTCTTACTGATATGTAAGTATTTTCCTTTCTCAAGAACACAAATGTAATAATCAGGTTGCTAAAAAAATACATTTTTCCTTAAGCATTACTTTGAAGCAGTTTTCTTTACTTTTTCACACTCACAAGTTACATAGGAAGTGAAGAGTACTGACAGGCTTGTCCTTAGTACATTAGGGACTTAAAAACCTTGAATTTAATAAGAATTACACAGATGGATGCAGATACCTTTGGTGTTCTGTTTATTGTCCTTACTGCCACATGAGCACCTGCAGTCTTGCACTGTCCTACTAGGCATTCCTGAAAACACCTGGACAAGCTGTTTGCCCAAGCACTAAATACTGGAGATGATAAAAGATAATTAGCAAGTGAAACTATTCCTGGCACTACTTCGACATTATTGCAGAACTGCAGCAGCAAACTGGCACCTGGTAAAGGGAAATGCTAGATGTGATAATTCCAATTTACACATTCAGCACAACATTCTATCCGCCTGTCAATGTGAAACAGTTTCTTATTCAGTGATAACATAGATACCCCAAAAGAATGTTGTGTTGAAATACTGACATGAAACTTTTATGTACATAACAGACCCTCTCTGGACCAGCTGCAACTGCCTTCTTTTCTTGCAGGGCATGTGTTGGCCATGCATTTTTTTAATTTAAAACAAAATCTGACTTTCAAAAAGTCCCTGAATAGAAGAGTATATTATACACAAGTACCAAACCTACAATGCACGGTTTGCACAGCAGAGAGAGCTATTTAATACACATGAAAGAGTTTGCTACAATTATGTGTAGTAAAATTTTCAACAGAATATGTCAGTTACCAAATTACAAAAAAGTATTTGCAGCAGTTAGAAATAGCCATTCATAATAGCTGTTTAAAGTAAAATATTATTGTACTCTCACTCATGTAACAAGAAAACATGCCACAATGTTCTGCGCACACCTCAAATGTGTAGATATTTTTCCAAAACATTTTCCAATGATCTCATAACATGAAATTATTTAAGTATAACAAAAGTAGGAAGCCTGTGAAAGAACTGATGGATCTGCTGGACATCAGGGAGCTAAGGGAGCAGTTAAGGAGAGTGAAGACAATGCAGAGAAAATGAATAATTTCCTCATCACAGATGGTGTTGGGTAGATAAGGATAAGAGGGCAGGGTGGAGAAAGATACAAGATTCCATATTTGGATTGGTAGTGTTCCATACATTTCTTCATCATCTGGAAATGGTGGTGACAACAATGACATGACAGAGTCTGCTGATAATACAAAGTTATTTAGGTTTGTCAAGACTACAGAAGACTAAGAAACTTCTCAGGGATCTCACAGAGAAAGGTTAATGGGTATCATGATGGTAAACAAAATTAAATGTTGTTAAATGCAAGGTAATTCACATTAGAAGGAATAATTTTAAACTATTTATAAGCATTGTTGTGTTCTAAACTAACTCTAATTACTCAGGAAAAGGACCTAACATGATTCAATGAAAACCTCTACTCCAATACAATGGCAATAAAACAAACAAAATATTAAGATAAAGAATGGGATAAACATTTTGAAAATGTAAATACTATAAACATTATTATATAAACTGATGGTTACCCAAACTTGGAAAACTGTGTTCCATCCTGGTCACACTATCTAAAAGTTTATAGCAGAAACCTAAGGGGTCCAGAGATGGACAATGAAAAGCATTAGCCTTCATGAAATGCCCATGTGAAGTCAGAAGGAAAAGATTGGGACAGTTTGGTTTAGAGAGGAGAAGAGAGTAAAAGGACGGAAGAGAGGTATATAAAATGATTGTAGAGAGAAGGTAAATAGCATACTCCTACTTCCTTTCTCTTATTACACAAGAACAAGGAGACACTGAATGAAATTGAAAGGCAACATGTAAAACTGGTTACAGTAAATACATTTTTTACACACTGCACAAACTGTGGAACTCAGTGCCATAATATCAAGTCCAAGAATTTAGCAGGAAATAAAAAAGGATTAGACATTTAGTTGAATAAGACCACCACTCAGTTATAGTCATGTCATATGGAATATAACTGTATATAGTGTTATATTTTAAAGCAGAACTATAAACCCTCATGTTTAAACATGTAAACCAATTACTAACTGATAAGATTAGGAAGGAACTTCCACTATTGGCAGGTCACCTTTTTTATACCTTAGCATCTAACTCTGGCCACTGCTGAAGACAAAATTCTGGATTACAGGGACTACTGATACAATCTGGTATAATTTTTGGTTCCTATTGGAATTACATTGTGGAGCCCTGAAAGGTTTGTCTGTAAACTTAGGCCCAAAGATCTGTTTAAAGGACCAGCTTGTTAATTCGGATAAATTGAGAAGGCCTGATTCTCTTCCGATGCTAGTACATTAGAAGCAACTCCTCTGAAATCTATGGAATTGCATTGTTGTGAACCTGAGGTGAGTGAGACGTGAACATGAAGTGTGCTTGTTCCAAAGGATTTTTTGAGCAGAGGACTGGAAATGCTACAAGTTTCTTCATTATCGTTCCATAGTGAGACAGGGCAGGTAAGCAGAGTTCCCACAGCACCTATGGAGTGGGCAGAAAGTTTGGGGGGGCCGGAGGAGAGTAGGGGAGTCCACACATCTCTAGTCCATACATCACTAGAAGCCACAGCCATCTAAATGGCTCTCTCTCTCCCTGGCATCCTCTGGCTCTGCTGCTAGGGGCTTCCCCACTGGCCACTTCCCTGTGATTCCCTTCTAGAAGGTTTTCTGAGCACAAATTAATGGGACCTAAATTCATGACAACAATCACTTGGTTTGCAGTCCCAAAGGGTGACTGGGTAGTGATGCTATGGAGAGGCACTCAGAAGCCTATTCCATTTGCACCAGAAAACCAAGATTCCTGAGGAACTCCTCAGGAGGTACTTTTGCAGAGTCAGAAAAAGAATATGGATGACATCACAGAGAAAATACTTCTCTATTTCCACCTCCCCCCTTCTTCTCCCCTCCTCCAAGAATATCCCTAAACGTTGTCCCCTCCTCCCACAAAGAGGGATCAAATTGGCCTCTAAAATATCTTCTTCACATTTAGAAATGATGGAATCAATAAAGATATGATAAAATAGCTACAATAAAATAGAACTAAGTGTTTAAATAGTCACATTAAGCAAGACCATTAGAGTAAACTTAGTTCTCCACACTAAAGTTCTCATGTATGGATTCCAGACCCCTAGCAGAGGACCAAGTTGAGAGTGGAATACTACAAATTTTAATAAAGGTACCAGTTTGACAAGATTTGAACTTATTAACAATGCAATACATAGGCAAATACTTTATCCAATAGAATACATGCAGTCTTTGCCTACTACCTTATACAAATGCTGAAGGTGAACTGCAAATGATTTTTTGAAGCTGGCGCTTGTTCCCTTGTTTGGTTGTGTGGGCTTTTTCCCCCTCTTTGCTCCTGATGTATGAAAAATTTATTTTTATTTTTCCTATTTACTTTTTACCTTAGAAAGATCAACTCTGTTCTTCTCTGGTGTTGGAAGAGTGCTTGAGGACCTCTATTTTACCACCCCTCACACATTGCTGAAAGGATGGAGGTAATGAATCTTTCACAAAGACATCCTTTCTAAAACATCTGAGAAGTTATCTAAGTATTAACAAACGGCATATAAAAACCCAAAGTTTTATGAAGTCTAACTAAAAATCCCTTCTCCCTCAATTACTCTGCCTCTACTCTTGACTCTTATGAACATAAGAACATAAATTATGAAGTTATCTTTTCTCTAGTTCACCAACTCATCAGTCTTGCAGTCTAGACAGGCTCTGAATACCTAAGGTAAAAACCAAGGAGAACCTTTCTCTGATGAAGAACCAAACTAATGTTCAGGATTTCTTTATACATCATTAATGAAAACAGGGCAAAAAACTATTTCCTCTTCACCCTCCCCTCTTTTGCAGGTCACCTTTAAATTGCTGTAGGCAAGATTGGATATGATTCCC